AACGGGATCTATATCCTTCAGGTTAGTATGAGGACTAAATGAGACAATTCAGATGAAATGTTTATTAAAATATTAATACATAGTAATTGCTCAATATATCTTAGCTGTTATTAATGGCAGAAAGAGCAAAAAGTAGACACCACCCAACTCCTCCCTATAGCAGCTTATATTTTTAGCGGGGAGAAAAGGTCTACACATGTGATCAGGGTAACTAGCAGGACATAATTCAGTGCTAAATGAGTAATACAAGCAGCATGTGTCTCATGATTTGACAGAAGAGAGCAGTAAAGGCTGGCGTAGTCAAGTATACTTCAGCTTTCTGATAGCTCACTTAGTTGGAATTCCAAGCTGCACCTTTTCCCCATTTGGAAGCCCTTTGCTTTTTCCCTTTGCAGTATTATATGGGGACACTGGTTTCTGGTTTGGATAATGGTTATTCTATTTCAGAAACAGATTCAAGAGCTCTGTTCATCTGTGGACTTGGTCACTCCCTCTTGAGTTATAGCCTGTCAACACTGGCTAATTTTAGTGAGTTCAGCTACTCCTCAACTTATGATGGGGTTATGTCCCGAAAAAACCCCTCAAAAGTTGAAAATATCGTAAGTTGAAAACACGTTTAATACACCTAACCTAGTGAACACCGTAGCTTAGCCTAGCCTACCTTAAACGTGCTAAGAGCACTTACATTAGGCAAAACCATTTTACACAAATTCTCTTTTATAATAAAGTATTGAATATCTCATGTAATTTATTGACTACTGTACTGAAAGAGAAAAACAGAATGGTTGTATAGATACTCACCATTAATGTACACAGCCGAAAGCACACAGGGCCTGATGAATGTTTGAAGCATTGAACTAAAATTAATTACACACAAGAGTATCGTACCACATATCGCTAGCCCAGGAAAATATCTAAATTCAAAATTTTAAGTACAGTTTCCACTGAATGCATATCACTTTTACACCATCGTAAAGTCACAATATCATAAGTTGAAACATGGTAAGTCTGGGACCGCCTGTATTTTGAAACTTCCATGATGAGCTAAGGCAACTGAACCAAGTATTTTCCCACGTGTGAGATGCTGGGCTCCTTTAAAAGTCAATACAAAACACTTGGTTTCTAACCTCTAAAACTCAAATGCACACAAGGCCAAGGTAGGTGGCACACAAGTGAGTGGTATAGTCCCTCCCCCATGGCCTTGAGGCACCACCTTAGGGAAACTAGACCGCTCAGGTACCACATTTTTAAATCTGGGCAAAAAAATTCAAATTTAACAAACAAACAAAACCCCACTTTGTTTGTGGTCCAAACAAAAATGGTTGAGGCTCAGTTTGTGACCTCAATTTTAAAGTGTAATAATGAGACCGATGCCTTGAGGTTATGCCCAGTGCCCCACAGGGACCTCTAATAAGTATGTTTTGTATCAGATTCCGAATAGCGAAACTGTACATAATCCAACCAATACTGACTACTCAAATTTGACTATTTTAGTTGCCACAAACTCCAAGAAAACTAAATGGCCATACCAGAGCCTCTAAGTATCTACCTGACCTGACCCCAGCCTCCTGCTCAGACATCTTTTCCTACTGTATTTAGCCCACACCAGTCTCCTTTCTGTTGTTCACACATACAACAGTCCTTGTACTTGCTGTTCTGTCCACCCTCAGATCTTCACACGGCTAGCTCCTGCTCATCATTCTGGTCTCATCTCAAATGTCATCACTTCAGATGACTGCCCTACCTAATATTCCCTCAAGTCCTCCGGTCACTCTACTACATCACCCAGTTTCATTGTCTTCACAACATCCATTTTCTGAAATTAGCTTGCTCATTTACATACTTATCTTCTAATAGGTAAGCTCCATGGAAAAACAAATTTTCCGTCAGGTGTCATGTGCCTGGCACATATCAGACACATAATAAAACTTTGTTGAGTAAATAAATTAATGTATAGCTTGAATCTTACAGTCATTCAAGCTACCATAAACCCTCAAATGTTCCACTACCCTACTTTGGACAAGATATATCACTATCATCATGTGACAAATCTAAGTGCTAAATTTCATTGATATTGCAATTTATTATATTGTAAGAAATTCAAGAGAAAGAAAAATATCCAAATAAAAACAATGATAAAAAAACTTACGGATAAAATATAATGTGTCTCAGTTTGGCTGTTATTGAATTCTACTTCATAAGATAAGCATCTGCTATAAAAATTCTGTGGATTCTTCCCTAGTACGTATAAGTCACCATGTCGAAAGAAGAGATTTTTAATATGTGGAGGATCAGGTTGCACTGCAAGATAGAAAAAGAAGAATATAAATTAGCTTCCAGAGTTTATATTGGAGAGATACACATATTGGTAGAGATAACGAAGGTCATAAATTTAAATCAAAATAGTGCTGATACTTTTTTTTTAAAAGATTTTTATTGGGGAATTGGGGGATGGGAACAGTGCTGGGGAATTGGGGGAAGGGGAACAGACAAGTTGCTGTCCTTTTGTTCNAGCCCAGCTCCAGGTCGAGCTGTTGTTCAGCATCTTAGCTGTAGAGGGCAGTGTCACTGGCCCTCATATGTGGGATCCGAACCGGGGCCCTCTGGGGTCCCAAGCCAGCTCTTAACCACCGCGCCACTCGGCCAGCCCAGTCTTCTATTCTTCTTGTAAGAATACTAGTCATTAGATTCACGGCCTACTGTAAGCCAGTATGACCTCATCTCAACTTCATTACATCTGCAAAACCTCTATTTTCAAATAAGGACACTTTCAGAGGTACCAGGAGTTGGGAATTAAACATATCTTTAGGGGAGGACATGATTAAACTTGCCATATTCTCCATCAAGCAGCCAGAGAGGAATTGAGGCTTGCTAATGGCCACATTATTATTGAGCTTGTAATTGGATTCTTCAGTCCCAGTCAAGCCTTGAGACTGAAGTCCCAGCTGACAGCTTGACTATAACCTCATGACAGCACTTGAGCCAGAGGTACCGGCCTAGCTAAGGCGTGTTAAGATTCCCGAGCCACAGGGCCGGCCAAGTAGCACGTTGGTTAAGAGCTGGCTTGGGACGCCAGCTCTGAGCAGCAGGGCCCCCAGTTCAGATCCCACATGAGGGCCAGTGACACTGCCCTCTACAGCTATAAGATGGTGAACAACAGCTCGACCTGGAGCTGGGCTGCCATGAGTCGTCAGCGACGGTGTAGGCTGCAGCCCCTGCTGCAGTGGGTTGCCATAAGCTACCGTGAGTAGCTGGCAGCCAGCGTGAGCGGCCAAGAGCTGCAGTGAGCAGCCGTCCAGAGGCCAGCGACCGATCTGCCTCACCCGGGCAGAGCGCAATGATAATACCAACATGGGTCAGTGAAGCAACGTCCTGCACAACCAGACTGAAGCACAAAAGGGCAGCATCTTGTCTGTTCCCCTTCCCCTGATTCCCCAGCGCTGTTCCCCTCCCTTAATTCCCCAATAAAACCTTAAAAAAAAAGATTCCCGAGCCACAGAATCTGTGAGATGGTATATATGTGTTTTTGAAGCCACTACATTTTGGTGTAATTCATTATGCAACAATAGATAATTAACACAACCATGCCTGGCCCATAGCTTATTCAGTATGTCAATTAATAGGGAATTGACTACCTTAACAACTTGTCTCTCTGGTTGTTAGATAGCTGTTATAAAGTCTTAAAGTTGGTCCTATTTTGTCCCAAGGTCAAAAAAGATAGTCCATTCCCTCTTCTACCTGACAATACCTCAAATGTTAGAATTCAGCAATCATGACCCCCCCCCAAGCTTACTTCATCAACTGTTCCTCCCCAAATTCTGAGATTATTCAATATCCTGATTACCCTTTCAAGGATAGATTCCAGTCTGCTGATGCTTCTTATACAATGTGGTGCCCAGAATGAAGACAGCACATTTCTGATGTGGCCGGGATGCTGTGCCCCACCCTGCAGCCTTCCCTTGTTCTGGGTGCTGCACTATCACTGCTGCCTATGACTGCATATGCCTTTGGGGACACTTAAGGGTCCAATGTTGAGTCACTTTGAGTTTACAGTCAAATAAAACCCTACACCCCACCCCACAACATAACGAATTCATAAAGCACAGGTCTTTTCAATCCCATACTTAAGCCTGGTACATAGCTTATTCAGCCTCTCAATTAATAAATGAAATTGATTTTTTCAAACCTAGATAGATGCTTATCTCTGTTAAATGCCATCAAGGGTCACTGTTCTATTCTTTTTTTAAATTATTTTTTATTGTGAAATACACATTTTTTAGAATTAGTTTCAGCTGTAAAACACAGTGCAATAGTTATACTTTTTACCCCTCAAGGTAACAACCCTCCTCCCCCAATCTGCTGCCCTACTCCTCCCCCCAATATCATACATACATACATACATATCTATTACAATTGATTCTGTCATCAGCACATAGGCTAGTCCTCTAGCATTGTACAATCTGCATATTTAAACGTGCCTGCCTTCTATATTTTTATTCAGGTTATTAACAAAGATGGAGACAGGAAAGAAGAGAGGATAACACCATTTGGATTGTGGATTTTCAAAGAGCTGTATATTGCAAATTAAGCAGGCTATTTGACAGTAATTAAACAGGAAATATATTTCAATTGTAATACTCTCTGGCTGACATCAAGAATACAGAATATTCCTTTCCCCCATTCTATTTTCTGCTTCAGCTTAGTTTCCATGCATCAGTGGTTTAAATTTTAATGAAATCCTGTTCTCTTACCTATACTCATTGCTGGACTCCAATTACTCCAGAGTTTGTCATCCTCATAGCAATATTTATTTGTTTTGACTCTTATTCTGACTGTGTTCAAAGTATCAGGAAAAGCACCAGGGACCCGGAAACAAATTGTGCCCTTAGATACAAAATAAAAACACACAAGAAATATTACTAATGTATTCGCCTTTCCTGCTTCTGAATCCTAAATATAATTATTTGCCAAATTCTCTATATGATTAAGACTTGGGCTGTAATCCAAATTATCTAACTTTAACTCCTGGAAAAACAATTGGCAATAACACACAGAAAAAAGTAGCTTGTTTTTCTCAAACCAGTTTAAATTTAGGCTATGCTTGCCCTGCCCCACCCCCAGTTACTCTTATGAGTTCAAGCCCAAATAGCTAACGTTGAATTTACTGACCTCCAGATTTCCCTCAGATTCTAAATTATCACATTTGGGTTCTTCAACCTTGAAAATATAAAGAAAAAATAAATTTAAAAAGACCATGTTTCACATCATTTAACTATTTCGAACAAGGTTTCCTTTCATCCCATTAAAAGAAAACCAGGTGCAGTGATAAAAGGTTGGTTTTTAAATAAATGGTGCTAAGTCAATTACCTATATATAAGGGAGAAAAAACACAAGAATCTTGACCCCCTACCTCACACTATTTACAAAGTCAATTCCAGATGGATTGCAGATTAAAGTGTAAAAGTTAAAATAAATGAACAAATAAATACATAAATACAGCAAGCTTTTAGATGAAAACGTAGAACATCTTTATGACCTTGAAGCAGGAAAATGTTTCTCTTTTTTTAATTGGGGAATTGGGAAGGGGGGCCAGGCAAGTTGTTGTTCTTCAGTCTTAGCTGTGGAGGGCGCCAGTCGCCTTCTGGATGCCTGTCGGCGGCTCGTGGCCTCTAAGCTCAAGGTGCTGTGTTCAATCTTAGTTGCGGGCAGGCTTAGCCACTATCCCATGTGGGAGTCGAACCCGGCAGCCTTGTTGTTAAGAGCGTGCACTCTATCCACTGAGCCATCTGGGCGGCAGCTCAGCTCAAGGTGCTGAGTTCAGTCTTAGTTGCGGGAGGGCGTAGCCCACCATCGAACAGGCAGTCTTGTTGTTAGGAGCATGTGCTTTCACCAGCTGAGCCATCCTGCCACCTTGTTGGCAGCTCAGTGGCAGCTCAGCTCGGGCGCAGTGTCACTGGCCCATGTGGGAATCAAACCGGAGGCCCTGTTGCTCAGAGCTAGTGCTCTTAAGCTAACTCTTAACCTACTGAGCCACTTGGCCAGCCCCCAGGAAATGGTTTCTCTAAAAGGACCAAAAAAATATTAACTATAAAGGAAAAACTTTTTAAACGTCATCTCTATTAAAATTAAAATCTTCAGTTCATTAAAAGATATCCTATTAAGGAACTAAAAAGGTAAGGCATAGAGAGAAGATATTTGCAANAAAAAAAAAATCTACATATAACTTTTGACTCCCCCAAAACTTAACTATTAATAGTCCACTGTTGCCCGGAAGCCTTTCTGATAACATAAACTGTCAATTAATGGATATTTTGCATATGTATTATATACTGTATTCTTACAATAAAGCTAGAGAAAAAATGGTAAGAAAATTATAAGGAAGAGAAAATATATTTACAGTACTATATACTATACAGATTCATTGAAAAAAATCCATGTATGTAAGTGAACACATGCAGTTCAAACTTATGTTCAAGGGTCAACTGTACAATCCTTTGAGGTCAAGAAGGACTATGTACCATTCTATAGATAAGGAAACACTTAAAATAGTTTATATGCCTTTTCCAAAGTGAAGAAGCTAAGACCTCAAATACATATTTTGTTTTCAAGTGGAGGGCTCTTTCTAATAACTAACACTTGGCTGCAGTGGTTGTTCTGATTGATCAATGTCTGGGCTACCCAGAATGTTAGGTAGCTTGAATATCACCCCTGATCACTCACACCACTGCAAGTCTAAGCTTTTTTAAACTAAGAGGTAGATTATTCAGGAGCTATATTCGATCATATTTATTCTGCAGCATCATCTTGTCAAATATTATAAGTAAAACAGAGTGGCTCTTAAAGTCAGAGAAAAAGCAAGTCAGAGAACCTGGGTTCCAATCTTGGTTCTAAAACTAACTGCTTGCTTTCAGTCTCAGTGTATTCATAAGTAAACAAGGAGAAAGCATGTGGCACGTGCTCAATAAATATTAGAATTACCAAGCTTGCTTCTTTAACAAGGATCAAAGAGAGGTATATAAACACAGCTGTTTTTGTTTCTTTTCCTGGAAAGATCTTAAAATCAAAATTGTCATTTTTTATTATTGGTATTGATTGTTCAAAAGACCAGCACTTTTATCCACACTGTCAAACAGGACTTCCAAAACTTACCATGGGACGTTAAAGGGACTATATTGAAGGATGGTCTAATTTTTCCTGCATTATCCTTGACCATTACTTGGACACTGTGTTGGTCAAAACTGGAATCCTTCACTTTAGTCAGAGCAAAGGAACAACCAATGTGTTGACCTGATCTAAAGATGTCTTCACATTGAAGAATTTTTCCCAGGCTGCTGTGCCTATAAGACAAAATGAGACAATCGTCTGCATTATTTTTAACAATGTATTCAAGAAACAAAGGCAGAAACTTGTTTGTTTTTAATGACTGAAGATGTCCATGAAAAGCAGTATTTGCAATATGGCAAGATAGCTTTTCCTAAACCCGATTTTATGTGGCCCCATTTCATACTCTAGGAAGAAATGAATGTTCCTTTTTGATGAACATTGGTACTTTCAACAGCTATGGAAACTACAGGGACCCTGACTCTTTTTCCTTTTCTGTATACAAGATGTTATGAGGCCCGGATGAGAAGTTTTACAATTCTTGAAAATATCCCATTTGCTGAATTCCATGGTTCTCCTCTGGTCCCTCTGTCTGCTTCTTCCTTGTTTTCTTGTCTTGTCCCTCTCCCTTCCCCTCTTCTCAGAGGGTTCCCATCCAGTCCTCAGCCCTCAGCACATTCCTCTCTATTTCTTACTCCCTCATTTGTTCACCCCCAGCTTATCAATTTCCTCTCTCGACTAGAATTTCTACGCTGGGGATTCCTAGTCCTGATCTCTTACCATGGATCCAGCCCCAGATTTCTAACTGCTCCATTTGAGCGTTCAACTCTTGACTTAAATCCAACATCCAAAACATATGTGTTCCCTCTTCCCTGACAAACTGCCTTATCCTTATCTTCTAACCTTCCCAATTTCCATCAGTTACAGCTCATTTTCTCGGGGCTCCTCGATTAGAACCTTTGAAATCATCTTTCCTCCCTTCTTTCCCTATTTTCTCTTGCCAAAATCTGTTATTTCTTCCTCTGCAAAGCTTCTTGGATTCTCTCCTGTAATATTCCCGTTGCCCTCACCCTGTTTCATGTCCTAGTCACTTCAGGCTTCATATCTTCTCCAGGTTGACCCCTTGGACCTTCATTATTAGTTCCCTCCAATCACTGCCAGATCAGTGTTCCAGAACACACTGGCTTTCGCAGTGTCTTACTTCATTCACCATGTGGCTTTAAATGTGTTCCATAACCAGTACTCCGGTTTCAACACCTCTACACCAGCAGTTCTCAACCTGTGGGTCGCGACCCCTTTGGGGGTCGAACGACCCTTTCACAGGGGTCGCTGGGTACTCGTATGTGGGCGTATCTGCATGTGGGCCTGGAGATGGATAGAGGAGCGGTGTTTCGGTTCCTAAGACCATCAAAAATATGTGTTTTCCGATGGTCTTAGGCGACCCCTGTGAAAGGTTGAGAACTGCTGATCTACACATATCTTTCCCTAATGATCACTGGCACCTAGCACAGTACAAACAGATAGCATGTGCTCATTACATGTTTTGTTTATGCTATCAAAGGACTCTGTTTTGTAATAACTGGCAGAAAATACAGTCAAGCCTTACGTCATCAACCACAATGGGAGGTGTGCGTAAGTTCTGCAGAAAAGGGAAATGATTTTAAAAATGAACTAAGAATGAAGAGTCCCAAACCCCTGACCGGTCACCTCACAATCATCTGTAGTCATTTAAAATGCAGATTCCTATCATGAATGGGGTAGAGACTTGATCACTGCACTGTACACCTGAAGCTGATGTTGTACAATATTGTATGTCAACTATAAGTGAATACATATATATAGTCATGGGACGTGGAGTATAGTGTGGGAGTGGAGTCAAGGGAATTGTAATAGATATGTATGATACTGGGGGGCATAAGTGGGGCGGCGGATTGGGGGAGGGGGGTTGTCACTTCGAGGGGTAAAAAGTGTAACTATTGCACTGTGCTGTACAGCTGAAACTAATTCTAAAAAATGTGTATTTCACAATAAAAAATAAAAATAAATAAAAATAATAAAATAAAATGGAGATTCCTCAAGCCTTCTCCAAGAGGATTTACTTAGAAGGCTTTGCCCAGGACCTAGGAATCAGCATTTTGACAGCAATTCTCCAAAAGATTCTGCTACAGATCAGGTTTTATAAAACTCAGATCTACTCTCATGAATATAGTCAACATATTTTATTTTATTTTATTGGGGAATTGGGGGAGGGGAACAGCGCTGGGGAATCGGGGAAGGGGAACAGACAAGTTGCTGTCCTTTTTGCTCTTCAGTCTAGTTGTGGAGGACGTCTCTCCACTAGCCCATGTTGGTATTATCATTGCACTCTTCCCGGGTGATGCAGTCGCTCGCCGGTGGACGGCCGCTCATGGCAGCTCACGAAAGCTCACGCCCACTGCCGGCAAGCCCCACTGCAGCCTACACCGTCGCCAGTGACTCACGGCAGCCCAGCTCCAGGTTGAGCTGTTGTTCANCCTCTGGCATCCCAAGCCAGTTCTTAACCAACGCACCACTCGGCCGGCCCAGTGCTGATACTTTTAATGGCCTTACATGATCAGACATACAGTTCTCGATTTCTGATTAGCCATAATTAATGTAGGAAGCTTCTTTTAAACTGCCTAGAAAAATGCATCTAAGGAACATCTTTGGGTTTCTGGCAAATGACGTGAACTCTGACCTGCATCTGGTTAGAACATGGCCAGGGTATAATCAGGACATCCAGCTGCAACATGGAGAATAAAGAAGTGCTTGGATCCAGATGTGCCTCCACCTGATGGGTAATGAGGGGCACCAGGTACAAGGGTTTTCCCCAGCGGTCACTCATTTGTGCCAATCAAAAACCACAATTAAAATATTAGCCTAGTCTCTGTCATATGCTACAACATGTATGAACCTCAAGGACATCATGCTAATTGAAATAAGCCCCACAAAAGGACAAGTACTATAAGATTCCACTCATGTGAGGTTTGTAAAGTAGTCAAAATCATAGAAACAGAAAGTAGGAAGATGGTTATCAAGAGCTGCAGGAGGGGTGGGAGAATTAGCATCTCAGTTTTACAAGAGGAAAAAAAGTTCTAGAGTTCTGCTGCACAACAATATAAATGTACTTAACTCTACTGAACAGTACACTTGAAAATGATTAAGATGGTAAGTTTAATATTATGTGATTCTAACCACAATTTAAAGTAAAAAAATTAGCTTAGCCAATTTAGTTTGGGAGGAGTCAACTATGCTTAAGACTGCACAACAGAAGAGAATGGATAATTAACAGAAAACAACTTGAAGATGTCATTTTCTAGCCGAGTAGGATTTCCCTTTATGTCACCAGTAATCTCCGGGAAAAGTGGCAAAAATGAGCTTTAAAAGGTCTATGGAGGACAACCTGCCAAACAAGGGAGAAGACAGAGATGGGCTTTGCTTCAGATTATCCCACTTGGCAAGTTACTGTGACCTCACTTCCTTGTCCTACAAACTAAGCTGCCTTTGGTCCACTCTTAGAATTCACTTCCATGATTATATGAAGGGGCGGTAAACAGTGCTCTGCTTACAAACTTGGGAGCCTCTGTCAATTCATGGTTATTTGCCTGTAAATTTTCTGTATACCACTTAGCCAGAATCTGAGTTTCCTGTTGGGGTATTACAACAGATAAATAAACATGATGCTTATAGTAGTCTGCTTTAGAGATTTACAAACACTTTTATACACCTCACATCATTTGGACCTTACTACAGTTGACCTTCGAACAACACAGGGATTAGAGGAGCCAACTTCCTGTGCAGGTCAAAATCTACATATAACTGGGGCCGGCCGAGTGGCGCGATGGTTAAGAACTCGCTTGGGATGCCAGAGGGCCCCGGTTCGGATCCCACATGTGAGGGCCAGTGACACTGCCCT